AAACTACAGATACTCATGACCAAAACCTGGCTAAAGTGGTCTACGTCCCTAACACCATGTGAACATGGTATGAGAAGATGGAGGAGACTTCAGGTCATAATCAAAACCTAGAAGCATGTAAACATGACGTGAGAGGGGAAAAAAGATCGAGGAGACCCAGAGACACTCGGAACTTCGATTCAAGGACCCCAGGATGGGATCCAACAGGTACGGACCCATATACAAAGCGGAGACCCCGCACTCAAAAATCAGCGAACTCCGAACTTTACCACAACGCCCTCCGGAAGTTCAAACAAAACGAATTCGGGGCCACCCCATCAAGCGACTCCGCAGGTTCGCCATGGAAACTCACTCTTGTGACACCAAAGTTGGGCTCCCATCCCCATGGATTGCCAAAAGGCCACAAAACCAGAAAGTGAGTCGTCAAACCCCAAGCCCACAAGAACGAAAAGGAAGGAAAGACTTGCCGAACTCATTTATGGTGACTGTCCACTACCTTCATCTGCCAGGGCTTTGATCGTGGCTCACCTATTCTCATGACCATCCCAAAGAATGGGTACACTCACCTAAACCTCACGCAAGATTGCTTAAACAACCTCCATTTGCTTTGCCTTAGGAATTGGACCCATGGTTCTTCAAAACAAAATCCTGGCAGAAAGAGTTAGCTTCTCAAAACTAGTCTTGGGGCTTGCCCTTCAAACTCACTGTCCCAAACAAGTCACCAAACTCTTGCGGCTACTACCATGCTCCAACCCCGAAGTCCAGAAACTCGGGGAGTCAGCCCAACCCAATACGGGCCAGGCCCAGTTGCAGGGCCCGGTGAACTGCCCCTTCATCTCCTTGAAGCGCAAAACTGCAAGAATGCCCACTGCACGAATCACGGGGTTCTAGGGGTTGTTTTCCATTTCCATGCTTTCCAGGGATCCGATTCTTCTCAGGAAACCATCAGACACCCTGGGGAAATGGCTGGTTTTTGAAAAGAACGATCGTGGTTGAAGAGAATGGTTGGACTCAAGCCCCAGAACAGGGTGCCCTTTCTGGGTCGGGGGGAAAACGCAAAGGAACCCCCAACATTGGGCGTGAGCTTTTTTCAGTAGAACCTTATTCATGCCCACCAACTTGGAGATGTGGCTCTCTGTGGAAATTTATGGCCATGCACTCCTCTGCAAATTGAGAGCCCCCAGAAACCAAATTGAGCCATGGAACCTGCAAGCACGGGTCCAGGCAAACTTGTGGCTCTTATAAAGCGGCGCGAATGGAATTGCTTTTTTGTTGGGGTGTCATGTTGATTTGCGGGAGAGTAAGGGCGCTTTCGGACAACATGATGCTTTGCTATTGCAACCCTGGAATGCCAGAGTGTTCCAGGGCAAAAACGCGGTTGGCTTCCTGACGAACTCGCCCCCAGCAAAAGGGTCAGGAACAAATTGCGACTTGGCTATCCAGGTGAGCTTCAGTGGGCGCAATTTCAGATCGCAAAACAACAACCCCGGGAATCAATCATGGGGGGTCGGGGTGACAACCCAAGAACGCATATGATGTAGGCCACGATGTTGTCTCTCGCAAGAAAACTGATGCTTGGATTGCGAGTGGCTGATGGTCTTCTCAAAAGTGGTATCCTCCCACAAACAACGCAAGTGCACGGGGTCCTTTTCCAAGAGGACAAGCTTCGTCTTCCAAAAGGGTTCGAACGTGCACCAACCATGCTTGTCGGAGGGAGGGCAACTGATCTTGTTAGGTCGAAAAATTTGGCCAACCAGCTTTCAACCTTCACTATCCCTACTTGTTGGTTCCGATTGGCGCTCTGGAAGTTCGGATATCTGCTTTTCGCCGACTCTAAGAAGGAAAAACAAGCGGAACCAGGGGGGTACGGGCGGAAGACCCCAATTTGGCTGTGGGTCAAAAATGGGTCCCCAAAAAAGAAGCCTGGTAAATGGAACCAAGGACTCAAATCTGCGGTGCATATCATCTGGTGAAAAAGTTGACCCATGCCCATGTGAGCCACAATCAAAACCTCGGGTAGATGAAGGTTCGTAAGTGGATTGTTCCACAGGTGAAAGCGATTTGGGGTCGATCCGCCCCAGATAATGTTGACCCAGGATTAATAAACCTGTCCCATTATTAGGGGGGTGTTCCCTCCAAAAGTGGTCTGAATCCCCACTAAACGGGGACACCCCCCTATTAATCAACCAGGGGTTCTGCTTAATCCGGGTAAACATTGGGTGCTTTGGGGCGTCTCCTTCCGACCCGGACGGCCGGACTGCCGGACACTCCCGTCGATCCCGATCCGAATCCGATGCCTTGGTGCGCCCGTGGAGACAAAGCACCGAAGCGCCGGCCGCCTCAGCGAGCGAGGCGGAGGCACGAGATCCGCCCCTGCCATGGATTCGTCCCAAAAAATAAAATCGATCCGACTGAAGAGGGGACATTTTGGAATACTCGGTTGCGAAATCTGCGAAGCCCGGCGAAAAGTGAATGACTTCTAGTGGTTTAATACGGAAAACCAATTCATTAGTTGGCAAAAAAAGTTCCAAGTCCTAACATCCCTTGGCAAAATGCAAAGCATAGGAGGTGGCCAAAAAGTTTGAAAAACAGGCGAGCTGAGTCCGGCGAATTCAGCTTTATGATTGGAAAGCTTTGGTTTGGTGCTTTGGATGTTGCTTCAAATTTACCCTCTACAAGAACCAGAAGTTCAAATACCCAAACCACCAAACAAAGCCACTGCCTGAATTAGGTAGAGGGAGCTAGCGGGCTGCCGGGTTGTGCTTTGGTCAAGGGCGGGTTTAGGGTTTGTTTAGGGCAAGCTTGGGTTGGTTTAGGGTTTCTTTAAGGTGCTTGATTGGTTTGGCTGCACTTTAGGGCAGGTTTGGTGGGTTCAAAGCCGGTTTAGGGTTTAAGGTGGGTATGAAGTTTTGCTTAGGGGTCTCTTACCCTCCCAACATGGAAGCCTTGGGACGACTCGTGTTGGAAAGAATCCCTTTGCACCTTTGTTTCTGCGTAGGTTACTCAAAACTGGAAACAGAAAATCTGGCCACACGAAATTCCCACCTGCCCTTCCCATCAGAACAGCAAGTCTCAAAGTAGCAGTTACTGGCTTTCTGGCAAGTGGTGATTCTTACTGGGTGCCTGAATCTCCCAAAAATAAAAACACAACTCGATTCGCGCCATGTTTCGGAGTCGAAATACAACCAGTGGCTACTAAACCGCGTGGCTTTCGCTGAAGAACCAGCTCAGGTCAACGTACTTGGTGGATCCTATAGGAGAATCACAACTGGAGCCGAGCTGGGACTACACTAAACCAAAAAAACACCTGAAAACTTACGGCTGGACTACACTAAACCAAAAAACACCTGAAAACTTAAGGAACCCCCCGGACGAATCGCTAACCACCGAGTGACGGCAGCTCACATCGGCGACCGCACGGACACTGAGTTTCTCCAGCCTCCAACCTCGAGACCAGATTCAGCGTGTCCTGCGTTTGACAAACAAATTTTGGCGAGGGAAGTCAGCCTGGAGGTGGGTTGGCGGAACGAACAAAACACGCCGTGATGTCATAGATGATTTTCAAGGTTCGTTGATTCCTTGCTAAATTTAAACAATGAGTAAACTATGGCATACATGCGTTGTCATAGGTGACCTGTTGGACAGAAATAGATAGGGTTCCATGGTAAATGGAAGAAAAGCAATCCAAACCAGTGTCATCTGCTGAGGGTGTGTTCACAGCCCTCCGCATTGTGCGTACCCAAGTTGGCCGACACAAAATCAGACGGCGCCCCTGAATTTCTGCACGTCATGTCTCTCGACGAACTCGCCCTCGAGACTTACATGCTTTGTCTTGCGGGTTCTCAGCAATGACCCCTATGAACAGTCCCCTATGGTTTCCTTCAAGGGAACCTTAGGTTAAGTTTTGTCAGCATGTCCACAGATCAACAAGGGGGGAAGGCCTGATCAGGTCACATGGCTGGGAAGTACCAAGTCCTTGGCAAAAGCCCAACAGCACGAAGGGAGTTGGTGAAGCATCCCAGGGAACGTAACCAAGATGTTGGCTCAAGGCACTTACATGATCAAGGGTCAACATTGTTCACCGTCATCTACGGTCAAAGGAATGACATTGGATCTCACCAAATTGCCCCTAGGAAACGGAGCTTTCTCAAAATTGACATGCTGGTTCTCGGGGAATGAGAGAATTGCCCTCCAACAGAAAGATCCCTTGCTCATTCCCCAAAACCCCTGAAGCGATCCGCCAAAACAACATAAAGCTCAGCAGTTCGACTGAATGCCTGACATGGATGCATATCGCCCACCCGCACCCACACCCATACTCCCCCACCCAACCCCTCCCAAAAGGGAGTGTCTTTCCTTAAGGTCCTTCAAAATGGTGGTGTTCCTCTTGGTTTCCCTTTAAAACCCACCAAACAACAGGAACCGACTCAAAGAAAGACCTAAAAGGCTCCACACGCACACACCCATACTCCCCGAGCCCCACCCAACGGGTCGCAAAAGGGTGTCGTGTTTCGTTGGTGGTATCCTCTTTTTTTTGGGGGGGGTGGGGGTTCTACAAGGACACCAAAGGAAAACAGCCATTTTCAGCAGTACCAAGTCACAACAAGACACACCTCCCCAGGTGAAATGTGGGGAATCAGACCACTTTTGGAGGGGTTTCCACACCCTATTACTCTGTCAACTGGTTGGTTGAAAAACATGGGGTCACCTTTAAAAGGCGTTGTTATTTTGCTGGTGCTCAGCAGGGAATGAGAAATGGAATGACCCTTATAAACCATCCAACCTGTGGTTTCTTTTATTCGGGAATCCAACCAAAACTGGTTCATGCAACTGCATTCCCTACCGATTTCACCAGCAACAAAGAAGACCCACATGGGTGTGTCTAATTTTGGGGACCCTCTTGGTTTCTTTCCGACTCAAAACCAACCAAACAGCAAGTACCGACTCAAAAAATCGACCCCCCTGTAAAAGGCTATGCCTGACATGGATTCCCACTCCCACTACTCCCCCGCCCCCCACTCACCACTCGGCCCGCCTTCTAAAACCGGCTCAAACACTTCGCCCCGACTCAAATTCCACGACGCCTGGAGCTCCCGGTCGTTGACCAGCCGAATCTTCACCGTGGACGGCACGCTGAGCTCTTGGTCCAGCGTGCGCACGATGCCCTCGATCCTGGGATCGATCGCCGGGATCGGCAGACGTGGATTCGTGCGCCCAAAAAAGGGTCCACCTGAGTCGTCAAAACCGATCGGTACACAAATGGTGAACCCGGAACCATCGCAAGGAACTGAGAAGGCGGAATTCAATTCCGCAACTGAACCCCCGGGCTGGGACTACCCCTTACTAACCTTCATCTACCTGGGTTTTGATTGTGACTCACCTGGACCCTCAAACTACCCACAAAAGCGGGAACTCTGAAATTCACCGACCAGACTTGTTGAGCAATAAGTAAGCCATTTTGCGGGAGGCAGGGACTGTTGCTTGACCACTAGAATGGTCTTCCCAAAAAATAGAAAGGAACTCAGGGAGCGAAGAAAAAGAGGAATCATGGCAAGGATGGCGAGGATGGCAAGGGACCCCTCCAAAGGGCAAGGAGGAAAACCTAAAAGCCGAAGCAGCCGCAAACATCGTTCCTTTCGAGACATGTCGAGAGTTGCAATTGTCTCCGGCCACAAGAAGAACAGCGCAGCTGCCTCCATTACCATTCTATAGAATCCCCAAGGGAGATAGGTAGTTGAGAACCCTAGGGTTCCCTAAGATTCCCTAAGATTCCTTAGGCAGATTCAACTTGCCTCTTGGAGGAAAACCGCCTGGAAGCTCCCCCAATTTTGACACATCCAACAAAATGAACCCTGCTGTCCAAGTAACACGTCAGGCTCAGAGAGCAGATAGGCGCCATAATGCCCCTTCCGGGCAATGCCCTGACGCGCGAGATGCTCTCGAAGGGAACTGCTCTCTTCTTACGGCAACATGTGTGTGTGTGTGTGTGTGTCGCCCCGCAAACCTTGCACGCATTTAAAGAGAAAACCAAAGGTCGAAAGGAACCACAGCGGGGTTGCCGCAACTGGAAACCTGATGGCTTCCCATGAAGCCGGCCTGAAAAGAGTACCCTCAAAAAAAAAGAAGCCGAATGTTGCTTGAACAAGCTCGAAGGGGCTTGCCCAACCCGGGTTGCTCCCAAGGAGGGATCCCAGGCATGCCCCAGGTAGGTGGTAACCAGCCATTTACCTGTTGGTCTTTAAAGAGTGGTTCCGCTTAGATACCTACTGCACAGGATTTTTGGAGGTTCAGAGTTGTACGCAGGTCATACCCTGCAAACAAGACAGTCGTTTGGAGTTGAACATTGGATCTACTCTGCCCACATATACAAATACTCCCAAATAACGTTTGGAAGGGTAGCACCAGGAACTATGCAGCGAGATTTGTGGAACAAGTCTAAACATTGTGGCCGCCCTTTGTGAATCCAAAAACCCAACCTTTGTTCTACATCTGACTCAACGAGGATGATGTGGCAGTCACAAATAGCCACACCTTGAGCTACTGGCATTCTATGTTACGATTCATGAACTAATACCCCTCAGGTTCAACCCCCATGAAAAGAATGGTTGACCCAATTTCGGATGATGACAATCCTTAGGGGCAGGTATGGTTTATATAACTCTCATTATTGCAATGGTGGTTTGAACTTCAGGGATACGTAGCTGACGTGTTGTGTCAACCGCTGCCCAAAAAACATGATTCTGTTTCCCAGTGAGGTTCACATGTATCTGAGCCACTGACAAAATCATTGGTTGCCCAAAGAGGCATGGGAAATGTGGGTGGGGTCCCCCTGGTTTTTGGGAAATTTGAGATGCCTCCCAATGGCGTCCCCAAGTGAACAATAGACTACAAAAGAATGTTGTCAGTTGCTCATCTGAAGATGCTCGGGCTTGCGTCGAAAGCCGCCGCACGGAACCCGTTGCAAACGCGACCGCACAAAAAGGCTGAAGCCACAAATCTGGGCTACTCGTTTTCTGATTCCCTGCTAAAGGTTTAACTTTTAGTGGGTGAAAAGGAAACTACCACAAAACCCTCCAAACAAAGCCCAGCAAGCTAGGGTGACGGCAGGGACCACCAGCCTGAAAAAGTTGGCCAATTGAAGAGGGCCCTGTCTGGCTGACTTCAGGCGCGAAGCGAGGGTTTTCCGGGAGTTCCTTCTGGTTCAATCTCCACTTTTCCTCTTGGTCACCCTTTAAAACAAATTTGGGCATGATTCTTGGTTAGGAAACTTTGGCGGATATCGAAATGTGGTGGGAATTAACGTTCAAAACCATGGAGGTTCCGTATACAGTTTCATGGCCATGTTAAAGGGGGTACCTCCCTATTAAAATTACTTTCATTGCCATGCTAAAAGCGTAAGGTTCGTACTCTAACCACAACCCGCAAACCTTGCTTGCTGTCTGCCAAAAGTGTTTGACTTGTGGAAAGGAACAATCACTTCCCAAAAAGTTAAAGTCCAAAGATCCAACTCCATACACTGTTGAGAAGCGGCTTCTTTGGATATCTTTGCTTTGGTGGTGTTCCGGTGATTTCCCATTTGCCCTCTAACCATAAAGCAAACAAACACATTCAATTTCGCAGCCAATTTTTGAAGGGGGCTACCTCCCCGCTGCCACAATCATAAGCAAACAAACACAAACTCAATTTCACTGCCAATTTTTGGGGTGGCTGCCTCCCTAAATGTCCACAGCCAGAAAAACATCCTCGGCACCCTACAGACATCCGGTGCCCCTCCGCCCGCGTCGGCCTGCGGGCAGCCGCAGTTCAGGTCCACTGCGTCCACCGAGCCAGGCGGCAGCAGCTGCGCGGCCTCGAGCTCGAGCTTGGCTTCGGCTTCGGGCACGGCGCTGGAAATGGGCGGGGAGCCATTTTGGGGGAGCCATTTTGGGGGGCCATTTGGGAGTTGGACGCCTTTCTTGGGTGGATGAAAAAGGAAAGCCAAAAGGAAAACCAAGATTTGTTTGGGGTCCTCGATTTTAAGACACACCCATTTGGATTCTTTAAAGCCACAAATGACAATTGACAAAACATGGAGAACTCGAAGTTGGGCCGAGCAATACTAGCAATTCCAAGTTTGGCTTTTGGGCCTCCCTAAAATTATTCATGAGCTGCCATTGTTTTTGGGGGTTGATTGGTCATAGATAGACAATAGGGCCCTGAGACTTCAATCCGAGTCCTCATTGGAATAAGCCAACCAAGACATGTAGAAATTAATGGAACGAACCAAGCTAGCGGTATCCCCAACAGCCCCTGGAACCATACGGAACCCCTGAAAGCTGCCCCAAAACAACCCCAGAGTGCCCATCTGGGCAGAGACCCCAAATCGCTTTCAGCTGTTGGGGGAAAAATATGTTGTCTTCCCTTTATGTTGGATTCGGGCACGCAGAAGCGTTGCGCATCTTGCTGTCCATTTTTGACAACCCTGATTGGGGGGGGGGGGGGGGCAGTACCCCAATTTGGTGGCTTTAAAAAGCAACCAAAGGAAAACCAAAGCCATTTTGAGGGGTCCGATTCCTGAAAAAAGGAGCCGCGCCATTTGGGTGTCGTCATCCTCGTTACCCACAGGGACCCTGTGGCGCCTGCCACCCACCTGCGGGAGGTTTTGCGGGCCTTCAGCACTGTCTGGGGATCATCGCCGCAGAACTGGGCAAAAAGAGGTCGATCCTGGCTCGCGAAACCCGTGGAACATTTGAGAATCAGTCTTTTTGTGGGCAAACAACCTCCCGCCCCCCTGCCGGCCCCTCCCTTGTTGTGTGTGTAGGGGTGTAGTGTAGTGTGTGGGGGGGTGATGTTTCATGGGGAAATATGGCTGTGGGTCAAAAATAGGTACCCAAAATGGAACCCTGGTGAGTGGCAACATGGACCAACACCTGTGGTCCCCTGGTGGTTTAATTTTGACCCACACCCATACAGGGAGCCCTGTCAGACATCGCCTTTTCAAAGCCAAAGCGTGGCCAGGGGCGCGTCAGCGGGCGGCTCCTTTAGGGGAACACCCCTCACTGCTCCGAACCACTCTGAAGCCTACCTCCCGCTTCATCAACCCTCTTTACACCGAAGGAAGATTGGTAAAGCTGGACCAAGAAGCCCAGGCCCTAGCAGCGCCAGAACCCCAACAACCCTCCCTGAAAGCTGCCCCAAAACAACTCCGGAGCCTATCTGGGCGTATCGACCCCAAATCGCTTTTCAGCTGTGCGGAAACTAGCAGAAAAGGGAACCCAGATGAGGACAACATGTCTTGTGATTTTCCACGCCGCCTCTGGAAAACCCTGAGCTGAGCTTCTGAGATCGCAAACCGCCTGTGCAACCACTATGGGTTTGACACCCACCCTTCAAAGTGATCATAGTGTCATGGGGATGAGAACCCACCTTGATATCACAGACCCGCCCCCCCAACACACTACACTACCCCACAGGGAAAACCCGTTCAGGGGTCACAAAGGGCGATGTTAAAAACCATCCAAAAGGGAAATATAACCCTGTCTAAACTGAAGCTCGTGTTGTCTACGCAGGGATTGGGGGGATGGAAGGCGATATACCACTGAGGTGGGAATCCCCCTTTTTAGGCTGCAAAAACTCCTTGTGCAACTGGTGTATCAAAATTCCATGCCTCCAAACATGTCCTTGAATCTTCTTGGTGCCTGTTATGCTGCCAGCCTTTTGAGGTCAAATCCGTCCAAAGCGAAGTGTCTCTCAAATTCTAGGGCGAGCTTCCAATTCCATTCTGAACCCGGGGATCCGGATCTTTCTAGAAAACCTCCGGAATCCCAGGGAAAACGGATCCGGTTTTTGAAAAGAACGATGGTTGAAAAGAATGGACAAAGGAATCAACCCCTAGACAAATAACATCGAGCGTCTTGCCCGAGGGATCCTCTGGGCACGTGGAGAACTGCTCCTTGCGGTACTTCGGCTGCATGGAAAACCTCGGTTGCGCTTCAACCAGGGAGTCGGAGGGTCCGGAAAAAGAAGAAGAAGAAAAAGAAACAAACAAGAAAAAACAACTGGCAAGACATAAATGCAACTAAATAGATAACTCTAAGTAAATAAACAAATAACAAATATCGATTTCTACATGCATATTATATATACCATACATTCATGTTCTCCTCCCGGGTTCCATGAGGTTGCCCAGACTTCAACCCGGTGGTTCATGTACTCCAAAGAAGGACCGCAAGGTTCGTAGGAGTAACAGCATCCTCATATGACTCAATTAGGACCGCCAAAAGGTGCTCAACGCAATATGCAGGCTCCCTACGTTTCCCCTGAAACATCACCCGACTAAGTAGAATCTCATCTTTAAAAAAATGGGGGTGGGGTGGCAAAACTATGGGGACCTCTGATATCAGGACGCCCGTTTGGGTCAGGCTTCTTGGCGAGGCCTCCGGTTCAACGCTCCGAGCCCGCCGCATTCGCGAGTGCCTCAAGCGGAGAAGCTGTGGGCAAAGAATAGGGGAACGCCCCACGGGTGGCTTCGCTTTGGCTGCTCATTCTCAACAATCCCAAACCAGTGTTCCCTCAAAACACACAACGCACACACACACACCGACATTCCCCGAGCGACCGTGCAATGTGTATATGTATATACATATATGTATATATATATATATCGCATATATACATATATGTATATATATATATATGTATCGCATATATATATATATATATATTACTGTGGGTGCATGGCATCCATGCATGCATGCATGTACCTACGTGCGCTCCGTGTGTGTATGTATGTGTGTGTGTATGTGCGTGTGCATATGTGCGTATGTGCGTATGTGTGTATGTGCGTATGTGCAAATGCGCGTATGTGCGTGTGTGCGTATGTGCGTCTGTGCGTGTGTGCGTGTGTGCGTGTGTGCGTGTGTGCGTGTGTGGGTGTGTGTGTGTGTGTGTCTGTGTCTGTGTGTCTGTGTCTCCGTGATGTCTGCCTGTCTGTCTGTCTGTATGTATGTATGTATGTATGTATGGATGTCGGGAAGGTCTGTATGTCTGGAGGTTCCTGGAGGATTCTATGTCTGTATGTCTGTATGTCTGTATGTCTGTATGTCTGTATGTCTGTATGTCTGTATGTCTGTATGTCTGTATGTCTGTATGTCTGTTTCCCTGTATGCCTGTATGCCTGTATGTCTGTATGTATGCATGCATGCATGTATGTATCTATGTATGTATGTACGTATGTATGTGTGCGTGTATGTATGGATGTAGGCATGCATGTATGTATGGATGTAGGCATGAATGTATGTATGTATACATGAATGTAGGCATGGATGGATGAATGGATGGACAGACGGACGGACGCGCGTATGCATGTATGCATGTATGCATGTATGCATGTATGCATGTATGCATGTATGCATGTATGCATGCATGTCGCATGCATGTATGCATGTATGCATGTATGCATGTATGCATGTATGCATGTATGCAGGTATGAATGTATGCATGCATGCATGCATGCGTGTATGCATGTATGTATGGATGCATGCATGAATGAATGCATGCATGCATGGATGCATGGATGTATGTAGGTACGTACGTACGTACGTACGTACGTACGTATGTATGTATGTATGTATGTTATGCATGTTATGTGAGGTCATGATGTGTATGTCATGTCATGTCATTTCATGGCATGTCATGTTTTTGTAAAGTAGTGTAGTGTAATGTAATGCTATGCATGTGTGTGTATGTACGTATGCATGTATGTATGTATGTACGTACGTATGTATGTAAAAAAAAGTAGATTCACTCTGTTGGTTCAATCTTGAAGGCACCCAACATGGAATCCCCCATTCGGACGGATCCACCTCGTTCTGGCCAGTTTGAACCATCATACTCTCCCGAAAAACACGGATCCCAAAGAACGAAGTTGGGTGACCCCCTCTTGGTTTCCATGTTCATGTGAAGGGGAGATATGCCATGAATGCCTTGTCTGCTTCTTGCTGTGTTGTGTGCGTATGATTCGCCTGATCTCATCGTCTCAACTTGTCTCTTCGTATCATATGGGTCGTCTTCCTCTCCCTCGCTTTCGTGGACTAGCCCAAAAAAAGGGCAAGATCAGGGGATCCTCCATTCGCTGGATTGCCCCATGATAAGCCACCGCATGTTTTACATTCCGGCGGCCTTCCACTTCTGGCGCAAACACAAGCGACGGCATAGAATCAAGCTCGCCCCCTGCGGTCAAACTCCTTACTCCATGATGCTTGGTTCCCTTCATAAGGATCAATTTGAAAAACATGAAAATTGAGGTCCTTGACCACACAACAGGGGTCACGTCCCCAAATCAAGAGTTGATCAATCTACTGGTGGCGTCCATTGAAACGATCGCCACTTTTGGAGGCCCCAGAAAGGGAAATGGAGGGAACCCTGCACAACCCCAAGTTAAAATTGTGGCTTGACCAGAAGGCGTCGCCTGACATGAGGCGGGTGGGCAAAGAACGAATCAATGATGCCCACCAAGCAGGCCCCAAATTGAAGATGGGCATCCGTTCAGGGTTGGCCTTTGGACCCTTTCTGGAAAGGTTCCACAACCACTTGGCTATGTGTCATCAAAATAAGGGAATAGATTCCAAACAAATGTGAAACCTTTTGGTTTTCCTTTCAACCAAAGGTCAAAAGGCTAGCCACAAAAACCATCAACACACAAATGGGTGCTGTTTTGGGGAGTACCCTTTGTGAGTTGGTTTAAAAGGGAGACCAAAAGCAAAGCCGTTGCGCCATTTTTCGTTTTTTTTCTTCTAGGGGGTTCCAACAACCTGACCAATAAACGAGCAACCCACTTGTGCTTTCTTAAAAATAAAAATAATAAAACACACACACAGACTTTCGGGGCTACCGAACGGATCTACAAAGTCAAACCCAATTCGACTGCATCCGAGCTGCAGCATGGGCGTGTAGGCCAGTTCAGTGCCATACCTGGCGAAACTTTGGCGGTAAAAAAAACCTCCATGTGCGGATACGTGCCCTGGAAAAACAACAACAAAAAACAACTGATACATATCAAAAGGGAATCCATTTTGTCTATTGTCTAGTTGGCCGAGAGAGCTAAAACTATGGAAACAAAAACAGTGTTTTTGCAGTCATGTTATGAAGAAAGAAGGAAAGGCAGTTCATGGGGGGGGGGGCCTGACCATATATATATATATTGTATTATCTATATTATATATATATATTGTACTATCTATATTATAATTATATATATATATATATGCAACCCCCCCCCCCCATGGACCCTGGTTTTACTGCCTTTTGGGGATGGCAAATCTAGAATTTCCACATTTATATTCTCGAAATTTCCAATTGTGGGTCCCCAAAGCGTGATAATTTGGGCCCGGAGTCCTGCACAATGTCCCAGTATGATACCCTTTGCAAATAAGATGGTACTTCAACTAGAAATGGAATTTTGAATATAGTTTAGTATGGATAGAGTTTTCAAAAATGTGGTTATGTTCAGTTACAGCTTAAACAAGCAAATCCTTTCCAAATAGCAGCTACATGAAAATGTATATCTATATATATATATATTTTCGGCTAAACTCCAACTAATCTATAACACAAGAAGTTAGATGGACGTTTTTTTTCCCAAATATAATCCAAGTGGTAAATATAATCTAAGACGAACACAACTCAATTTGCTTTTGATAATATCAAGTGAATAGAGACTACATCTCAAATATAATTCATATTAAATATGGCTAAACATTTGGAAATTCAAAATAGGATTTGTGTTGTTTACATTCTGGCCCTTTTGTAGCATAAGAAAGGTCCGACATTGAACTTGTTAGACGGTGCTCCAATGGGAAATTTCAAGGGAAGAGAGGTTCAAAATCTAAAACTATCTCGAAACAGGGATTCTAGCTAAACCGTTGTATTTAAAGTTCTATTTGCGCAGGAAAGTTAATTCTATCTCAAAAGGTGGAGGTAGTAGAGGAGCAAATGTGGACAGGTAGTTGAAGAGGGTGGGGGACGGTGTGTGAACGTGCATAAATATGTATATCTACATACACATATACACACATATATAGTACCCCCAATGATCCTGCGCCTCCCCATAAAATACTGGAAAATGCAGTATTTTTGAGCGTTGCACCTGCCTTTGTTTACCTCCTGGAAAGGGGTCAACATGAGCATAGCTGACATGAAGCTCACCAAAAGCACTTGAAAGTTTGTCTAACCAATAACTTGAAAGTGTGTCCGCTGGATCGCTAAGCACTTGAAAATTTGCTACTATCGGATGGAAGATTCAATATTGAAGATTACACAGAACACTTTCCTGAGAATTGTCAATCCTGGCCAAACCCAAATAGCATTCAAGTTCTTCTAACACTTGAAAGTGCTTTACCACTGGATTGGGGATTCAATATTGAGGAGCCCACAAACCACCACTTTTCTGAGAATCATCCATCCTGGTCAACCCGTAAAATGTTCAAGTTGTTCTATCACCTCGAACATCCGTTACCACTGGATTGAACTATTTGACGGAAAAAATTTCCGAGAATCTTATTGAACACCGAGAGTATTGGGACAACCCTGGAATTTTTAAAACTTTTTAAAAAATTATGGGATTCAAGATTCAAGATTCCCAGAAAATATTTTCTCAGATTCTTGAATCTTGAATCTTGAATCCATATTTTTTTAAAACTTTTAAAAGTTCTGGGATTCAAGATTCAAGATTCCCAGAAAATATTTTCTCACATTCTTGAATCTTGAATCTTGAATCCCAGAATTGTTAATATGTTTTAAAAATGTCTGAGTTGTTCTTGTATTCTTGGATGCATTCAAACTCTTTCAGATTGCAGGTGCTGATGTCATTGCTTTTATCACATCTGTATGCATGCATGCGTATCATATACATGTATGACCCTCCCCCCAATTTTGACACAAATCCAAGAAGCAAAAAGAAGCATAAAACACAGGAAAATACAGGTCAACCGCACCAAACCAGGGTCCATGGGGGGGGGGGTACCATATATATATATATATATATAGTTCTTTCTAGTAGTGATAACTAAAACTTTAGAAGCAACAGGGAATATTAACATGCTCTTAAGCAAACGGAAGAAACTGTTCCAAACTCGGCCCGCTTGATGGGTTCTAAACGGGCCCGACCGCAAGCCAATCTTTTTTGCATCCGATTCGGAACTCATTCGCAAGGGGTCACATGCCGGTTGGTATGGAAGGAACCATGGGCCAGAGCGTTCCTTCCTTGTGGGGCACACCCTTTGGTTGGTTTAAGGGAATAAACACCGGATACCAGCTCGCCATTTTGGGGTTGGATGGACCCACTTCAGGGCCCCTTTTTTTTGGCCCCAAATCAAATTGGTGCACTTGCACCCAAGAGGGCATAGGCCCCAAATCAGAGGGCTGTAGGGTAGGGTCCCGACCAAACCGTTGGAAGGCTTCCCTCCAAACCGTGCTTCGATCTTTCCGAGTCGGCATCTGACTGGAGCCCCCTCCCAGTTTCCAAAGATCAACGGCCACACTCCTTGTGAACAAAACCGAAGCCCCAAGGAACAAGCTGGGTGAATCATCGTATTTCACCAGCCTGAAACTTGCGGTGCTTCGGGAGCTATTCCCCACCTAAAGCAGCCTTTGGGGTGAATTCGGTCGTGCGAGGTCCCTTTTTTTCTCGCCCAGAACAAAGCGTTGCGCCAGTTTTCTGGGCTGGGGATGATGCTTGAGAAGCCGAAGTCCGATTCCCAACCCCACTTAATTGATCAAGGGATGAGTGCCATGTCCAAAGGGATTCGAATCCCTGCTCAAAAAACGAGACCCGAACTGCCGCCGAACCGAATTTGCCCACGTTGCCGGTGCTCAGCAGGGAATGACCATGGGTTTGACGAATGAAGCGTTTTGGGATTCCCCTAAAGGAAGCCACAAGGGATGGTGTTGGGGTCCTTCGGTCCTTCCAACTCAGGCCTTGCTTCTGGCGGCCCAGGGTCGTGGAAAATCGGCCTTCCGTCCCTGGTATCACCAAGAAAACCCTGGCATCACCCAAACCTGCCTCCCCCCCCCCACCCGACAAATCATCAATGTAGCACCAGGCCATTGGAAGAAAACTTCCATTCAGATTGGCAACTGTTTCAGCGAATGTTTCTCACTGCCGATCACGTGGATCACGTGGATTGGCACAAAAAAAGCCAGAACTTTTTATTTACAGCCAAACAAATGTTGTTTCTTACCACCAAAATGATCTTCCCAAAAGTTTAAAGTCCAGGAACTCAGGAAGTGAGGTTTAATCTAAGTAAATCACAGCAGAGGGAGAAGCCAATCTCCCCCCCCTCCCGGTTCTATCCAGCCGGATTTCCGACACATGTTTCCGTCGCTACGGCCTTCGGCACAGCATCCGGAAGGCGAGCTCCGACCTGAGAAATTGGGCTCCAGGAAACCAGTGGCTTCCACCCCAACACCGAAGCTCCGAAGCTTCCCTCCTTCAGATGGAACAGGGGAGTCCTGGAAGATCATTTTCAGGTTCAAGGGACCCCCCCGTCAGGTTCCATGTTGATTTGTGGGAGGCCCCCCAGGGAAATCAAGGTGTATACCCGTTACATAGTGATGTGGTGGTTGTATACCCCATGTTTCCCTTGGGGTAGTGGGAAGCCAGTTTAGAGAAACGGACACATCCTTCCGCTTGCCCAGTTGAGTCATAATCCAAACCGATCGGTATTAAAATGGTCGACAGAACCATGTCAAGAAATGAAAAGCCGGATCTCTGCACCCATTTATGTTCAGGAGTTTCCCGTAACACCCCCCCCGCCAAATAATCCAGATTTTGAGCAATTGACTCAGTTGTACCCTCACTCGGCTCACAGAAAACCTGTGGGTCTGAGCGGGTAAGCCAAGGCGAATGGGTGTGGCTCCTCTTCTGGAGTTGGTACCCTGTTTGACGATGGAAGGGACCCATGTTGCGGGTTCCCCATTTTGAGACAAAGTGGTGTGTAAAAACAGCCTGGGCATGGTTGTGATACCAAAGTGGGCCATCCTTGACTACGGTGTCACGCTTGGGGGGATTTGTCTGGTATCACGGCAAATGGCAGCCTAAAACAATGCCCTTGAGGATGCCACGATGCACGAGATTGGTCCACTTGCAACATAGCCCCAAAATGATGAGGAACATTTCTTTTGCTAATGTCAACTTTCTTTTGCTAATTCAGACGGTAGTAATCAGGGGTGAATATCCCCTTTTATACAAGGAAATGATATCTATAGGGGGCGCCTCTACCTAGTAGGGTCCTCGCTTTTTTTTTAAAATAAGAAGTTCGCATGGGAACATGGCTCAAGTGCCCATGGTGTTGGTGTTGGTGGGGAATTTGGGTAACGTGAGGCCTATTGAGGGCCTAGGGAAGAATCCTCTTGCCAACTAAGGGTCCACTTTGGTTTACGAAAATGTCCTCCACGCTGCTATGCACCTGACGTTTCGAGGTGCCTGTTTGGACCATTTGCCTTTAAAGCGGACCCTCTCGTGGGTTCCATGGCAACATGGACAAGTGATAGTTCAAAGGGGAGGAAATGAGTTTTGGTTGGCTTGGGGAACCAACTGATTGACAGAAAGTAACCAACATCGGGGTGGCAGTCAACTGGCATCTTTGGGACTGCCGTCCACTTTATAGCCACTATATTATCACAAGGACAAAGGGTATATACCCCCCCCCCCCCAATTTACCCTGAGGTACCACACACCCAAGTTCTGGAATCCGGGAGACTTAGGGAACCCTGCCCCCAAAAAAACACAACGAAACAGAACTCAGGAAGTGGGTTGGTTGGTTTCCCCCCGGGTTGGTTCGGCTGCCGAAAAAGAACCGAACCATAACTCAGGAAGTGGGTCCTTTGCTTCAAAATTCTTTCGGGGTTGAATCCGCTCGGCTCAGCTGCCAAGTGGCTGGTCCACCATGGGGGCACACACCGTCTTGGGGCTCCCAATGGAGCGCCAGAAGTCCCACCCCCGGAGCTTCTCCTAACCGGAGAAAAATCCGAGCGACTCAAAAAGCGGTGGACATGGGTGGATTCAAGGGAACGACCCTGAGACAAACCATCCAACTGCTGGTTTCCTTGATTCGGGGTTGCCAAAGTTTGGGCTTCCTTCCTTTTTCAGGTATCGCAAGCATAGGTTGTTTGGGGAAATAGATGGGTTTCCCTGGTGGATGAGAAAAAGCCACCAGGTAAGCCAGGAATCGAAACCCCAACCGATCTTTTTAAGCAAAGCAACCAAAAAGGACACCTATGGCAACGGACCTCTCAAGGTGAGCGGGACGGTGCTTGGTGGACTTGGTGCACCGTTTTTTTTTTTTTTATGCAACACCTCACGGGGTTGTGGTTGATCACTCGGGGTGTCTCCAACCACTTCTGTGATACAAGGAAATGGATCATTCGGGGTGTCTCCAACCACTTCTCTGATAGGAATCCCCTCTTTTTTTTATGAGGGGGGTAGTCTTTAGGCCCTTTTTGTGGTTGATACAGAAGTGGTCATTTCCCACAGCCCTGCCTGCAAACGGCAGTGGAAATTGCTGGGGAAGCTGGTGTGAGGCTTGTGCGGGATTGGATCGGCAGATGCCCTAGAAAAGTGGCCCAAAAGGGAAAAGGGAAACACGACCGAGTTTCTGCCGTTGAGCTCGAGCTGAAAAAAGGCTGGGGGAAATGATATCAAATGAAACCCGGTTGAATAGTTGCCAGTGTCCCAAGGCCGGCTTGAAGTCTTCTAGTCTTTCCGGCTCCCAAAATCTTCCCTCCCGGCTTGCCCCAGACCCTCCTATTTGGGGTCTCTATTTGGGGTCTCTTTCTCCCTCACCGACTCAAACAGAAAAAGACGAGCCATTGGGATCGCCAGCGGAAAATTCCAGCTCGGATGTCTCAACCAGCAGCCGAGTGGAAGAACCAACTCCTACCCATTCCTTGGTTCTCAGATCTCTGGTCTACCACGTGCTTGTCTTGCTAGTGCGATAGGTAGGAAACGACCGGGTCCGGGTTTTTGGGAATGGACCGTTTCGGGATGCCCTGAGAGGAAACCATGGGCGGTGCTGTTGCTTGGGTCATGTCAACTCTTTCCCTGCGAGCCAGCAAGTTACACAGAACTCTCGGCTCTGAAAGCCTCAGATCCCTCCCGGCTCCTGAGCTCCAAGTACCAGCTATGTTCAGCAACTACTTTGGGCATCTCTTGGGAGGTGAATGAAGAGCAGCACGCGCTGGGTATTTCTGGCCTTTTTTGTCCGTGGGATGTGAGGATGTGAAAGAGCCAGGGTATCTTTAAAACCCAAACGATATGGGCTTGCAAGAATCCGACTATTTTTTGCAGCCACCAAAAAAAAACCATAAACGACTTGCCAACGACGGTGGAGGTACCTGAACAGACGGTACAAATCTCGCCAAAAGGTGTCGGATCAATGGCCTCAGCGCCGCATCTTCGAAAGCCCGGCGTGTCCAAAAAGCAGTCGTTCGGGGGGGCGGGGGAGGCATGGTGGCCATGGTCATTCCAGGTTTTCACGGCGGTGCCCTTGGCTACCACACCATATAGGTAATGCTGACCCCATATGAACCAACCCGCCAGTCTATTAATAGGGGGGTGTCCCCGAGTTTAGTGGGGAATCATCAATTTTGGAGGGGAACACCCCCTATTGATAAACAGGGGTTGAAAAATATGGGGTCAACATTGGAATGGGATCACAGAATCACTGGGCTTCCCTTGAGGACTTCAGGTCATATCCCGCCCAACTCGTCCCCTCGGGGCTCCGAGGGAGACGCCATGGCTCTGCGAGGCCCGAAAAGGAAGAATAATTACACGCCGGGTGCGCAAGCAAACCGCCCATCTGTGAGCTTTCGTTGGTAAACAGAAAGCATGACTCTGAGAGCGATTGGTTTGCTTCCGGCTCTGGGAACGCGCTCCATGTTGCTTCTGGTTGCATCTGTGCGAGCGAACTTGAGGCATTCAAAGCAACTCCACTCCGAGCATTCACCGATTTCACGGACCCTTGAAACGGCATCCCGAGCGTCCGCCAATCACCGAGAGCCAACCCGCGGTTTAAACAAAACTTACCGTACGGGAATGCAAGGGTGGGAAGTCGGAGAATGAATAGGATTCAATTGCCCAAGGACCCAGCAAGAAGTAATCCACGGGTCTCGTGGTGATCTCTTGATCTTGCGGAACCAAAAGAAAAGAGCAGAAAGGCGGCGCCCATATGAACCACTGACAGGCAATCCAGGTGTTTCAGGCCAGCCAGGCAAAGTTGACTTCTGCAACAGCTAACCCTAGCTTCAGTCCTAAAGAGTAACATGGCAATCCTTCCTTCAGCGTTGCTCACAAAGAAACTCTTCACCAATCTTCGTCACAAGGGTAGAAGGCTACGAAGTCCCTGAAACGAAACAAGAAGATGTTCCGAGCATCATTTACAGAGACTTCAATCCGCAATCCCTGATCATCTCCCCCAAAGCCAGCCGAAGCGCCGCCAAAAACGATTTTTCAAACTTACGCTTTACGCGCACGAGCTCAAAGCCGTCGCCCGCTTTGCGCTCCGCAGAGCGGGTCGAGCATCTCTGGCAAGCAGCCGGGCGCGGCAAAATCGGGAGGCCGGGAGCCCGGCGCGAACTAATTCAATGGGATGGACCTGAGAACGTGCTCAATGAGAGCGGCTCAAGAATGAAAGCTTAAGCACATGCCAGGGGAACGGAAGCAGCAAAAGGAAAAGCTAAAGAAAGGTTAATATGTTGGGCCATTCCCATTAGGTCGCTCACTTCTGAGCTCGAGCAATCGCTCGAATCTAGTGCAGGACAAACATGGGTGTGTCTTTTTAGGAGACCCCAAATGGTGGCGCTCCTTTTTGTCTCCCTTTGAAGCCACCAACACATGGATACCTCGCAAAAAGACGAGCCACCCATCCTGCTCTCTCTTTCGGGCCGAATCCCATTCATGGGACGGCCCCAAGGCGGAGAGATTCCGGACTTAGCCTTCCGAAAGCCGTGAGCAAGTCTGGTTGACATACCTAGGTCCTCCAGTCGAGAGGTTAGAGTAAGAGTACCAACCTTTTTTTTGTAGTCTATTTTAGTAGGGCAACCCTCCCAACCAAAAAAGGAGTGAGAAAGGTCACTACTGAAAAACCCTAGATACACGTGCCATGAAAGGTATGCCAGATTCATCCGTGACCTGCTCTTGACATTGCACCCCATCCGAACAATTCAAGGTGGCAAGTATGTCCACACCAACATATGTACCGTCAATTTCTTGGAAATCCGCACAAAGAGGCGATGGTCACGACACTCCGCAAACACATATCTACCCTCAGTTTTCCAAGAAAAAGAAAGAAGAGAAGACTCCAACTCAACTGCTTCGGTGCCCGAAGTCCCACCCAGCGCACTGCTTTGCAGTGCCGGAAGGGAAAAAACGGAAAAGCCCCATGGATCTTGGCCGCCGAAAATGCAAGAACGGAGCCTTGGAACTGTTCAAATCCAAACTGCCAAGGGGGCTCCTGAGCATAGGCGTCCTTTTTGGTAAAAAACAATGATGGCCCTGGTGAAATGGTGTAAAACTGATCTAAACAGGTGGGACCCATCTGTTTCCAATCAAACTTACCGATCAAAAGGACACCTATGCTCCTGAGCCTTTGGCGGGCCAATCAGAAACGGAGTCAGCTTCGACTTTTCGCCGAATCCATGGGGCCTCTGTTGGCTATTGTTGGCCATCCACCAAAATCTGGAGGCACATGGCGAAGCGTTCCCGGGACCTCGGTGCTTGCTCCGAAGACAGGGTCGGCACATGTAAAAAGGCTGGCCCCAGACAAGAAAACCGGTTCAAATCACCCTTCAAATACTGAGGTTCATATAACCACCATTCTTTACCTAAGGATTGATAGGATTGTCGTCATCCAAATTGGTCCGCCATTCTTTTAATTGGGGGGTTGAACCTTCCAGCAAATGTCTGTCATGAGAAACAAGTTCGCATCGCCAACGAATAGGAACAACCAGCACACATTTGGAGAGTACCCCGCGGAATTAGGATCGGCCACAATTCGAGTGGTGTCATGCGCTATCTGAGGGTTACTCACTATACCCTTATGACTTGAGTGATGTTTGGTTGCGGAGCGCAAGTGCCCGGAGTCATACCCGGGTCTCAAAATGAGGGAACCTCCCAACATAGGCGGGGGTCCTTGGGTGTCCCTTTTTTGCCAGCCCAAAAAGGATACTCTGAAAAACGGGCATGCACCCCAAAAGCCAATAACATGTGTGATCAGATTGGGTGGTCCCCACGGGTTACGTCCTCCCCAAGATCGGAAAACCGCAAATGTTGTGAGTGATTCATTCTGCACCTCGAACTAACGTGGGGATTTGCTGAGCAAACGAAACCCTACGCCGTCTATCTTGTTCAATGAAGAACATGTTTGCAAAGTGATACCGTTTTGAAATGTTCAGTTGACAAGAAATTGTCGTTGTTGTTTGTTCCTCATTGGATTCTATATTCAAAAAAATATAAAATGTAATTCCTGCTTGGTATCAGGAGCCCTGTACGGAGCCTTGAAAGGATCATTTAAGGAGCTCTGTTGAGGAGCTTCATAAGAGGCCACATAAGGAGATTTGCACAAGGAGCCTTACAAGGAGCCTTAACTGGGGCGTTGTCCTATAACGAGCCTCGCAAGGAGCTTTATACGGAGCTGTATTGGAAGCTTTATAATGAGCATTGTAAGGTTTAAAAGGAGCTTTATAAGAGCATTGTAACGAGCCTCGAGTCAAGACTTATAAAGCTGGCTTTTAAATTGCAATTTAGAATCATAATTATAACTCGATTCTGTCCTCATCGAATTCTATTTCAATTGTAATATCAGTAGTCAAAGTCTTCTTGAGAATAAACACAAAACTCAGGTGTGCTTGATTTTTCTGGAGGGACAAGGGCCAAATAGAAAAAACACTCGG